CTACAATTTTAGAATGTTGATTTTAGTAAAAAATTTCAGGTTTACTAAATAAAATCATTTCAGCCTCGTTTCCTCCATTTGACCTTGCGACGTACTATGCTAAACTTAGTAACGATCGACTATCGATCGGCTGCCATACGTATGCACAAATGTAGGAATAATGGCACGTCTGGTTTCGTAGATATCATCTCATCTTTTTCTGCTGTTTAGTTTCTGGTCGATTCGTGGATTCAGGCTCTTAACAAAGTGAATACTTAATATTATTTCCTGGCAATTACAGTAACGGGAGAGAGAGAGAGAGAGAGAGAGATGGAGAGAGAGAGAGAGAGAAAATGGTGAGAGAGAGAGAGAGAAAGAGGAGAGAAAGAGAGAAAGTGGAGAGAGAGAAAGTAGAGGGAGAAAAAGAGAAAGTGGATAGAAAGAGGGATGGCAGAGAGATTGTTAGAGAAAGAGAGAGGGGGAAAGAGGAAAGAGAGAAGCCGAAAAAAATGGGGATGTGATCAGCCAAAATAATTTAAAACAGTCGTTTACAGACTGTACTACCAGAGTTCACCGTTTTTTCCTACCTTCATCTGCTTTTTTTTCAATTTTTTCCGATATCGTAGGATCTATCTATCTATCTATCTATCTATCTATCTATCTATCTATCTATCTATCTATCTATCTGTTTGAGTGTTGTTCAACCAATACAATACCAAAGAGCCACTTAATGTAGAGTGATATTGTATGAAAGCAGATAACAGTTGAACGGAGATTAAAAGAGGCTCAGATTATCTATCTATCTATCTATCTATCTATCTATCTATCTATCTTTTTTTTTTTTACTGTGGTTCACTGAATACGAGGTGCAAGACCCACTCAAAGTAGAGTGATAATGTATGATGTTGTTAAAAATAGATAACGGTTGAACGGAAAATATCTATCTATCTATCTATCTATCTATCTATCTATCTATCTTACTGTTTTTCCCCAATACAAAACTCAACAGTTGCTCAAGGTAAAGTGATAATGAATGAAGTTGTTAAATGTCGATAACGGTTGAAACGAGATTATCTATCTATCTATCTATCTATCTATCTGTTAAATTCATTATTTACTTAACAAACATTATGCTAACTATTCTTGAAAACCAATGATCTTAAAATAAATAAAATGCAAGTCACTTAATTCCAAGTAACAATGGTTTTGGATTTAGAATTACCGTCAGCTCCAATCTCTTGGTGAGTCTGTCGCATTCCTGTAGGCGTGGCCGGAAGAAAAAGACGAAAATAGATTGAAATAAACAAAGCTATAATTGAGTTAATCAGGTATTTACGGAATCCGATAGAATCAGTCGTAGATGTTTACTGTTGCAGTGCGTCATTTAAGAGAACTCTCATGAAAGGAATTGTTCTGATGTGCTTAGATTGCTCCTCAATGCTCAGGAAAAAATGCCTGCAAAACTTTCTTCAAACGGACACTTTATCGAAAGGATATCCGTATCAATTTGATAAAAAAGAACTGTTAGGTAAGCTTGGAATATTTGGGAATATTAGAATAATCCCTATCCTATACTGGAAGCAAACCGCTTGCATACAAAGAGAAAATGAGTTTATTAAATATAAAGAGCTGGCCACTCGTATTCGAGGAAACCCGTCTACTAGTAGGCCTAATCACTCCCTATTGCAGACGCCTGATCCGTGTTTATACTGCAACTATGCCGATCAGACCTTAGGTACCGTTTCTGGGAAAGAGCGTGTTATCTAGAGTGAAGAATTTGAACAAGGCCAAGCCCTCGATCACGATGACTTGTGACTTTGTGCTAGCCCAGCTATCGACGGTTCCCAAGGGTTCCGTTTACCCATTTTCACTCACAAGGCTTGGATTAACCCGTGGTATGGTTTTCAGGCACTGTCCAAAGGTACCGCACGCTGGGATCGACCCCTCCAGTCCGATAACGTCAAGAAGTTTCCTTCCTGACAAATCGATCCTGGTGAGATTCGAACCCGGGTCTCATGGTCAGAATGCGAACGTTCTAACCACTCGTGCCCATAAACTCAGCCACGTTCCCATTCATTAAATATACAAAGATAGAAAGGGCTGTAAGACAAGGATGTGTCTTCTCACCAGACTTATTCGACCTATACAGTAAGGCAACTATAAAAGAATTAGAAGTTCTACCAGGATCCATTCTTGGTGGTAATCTTAACAGCATAAGATGACACATTGTAGGTAGAGACACAGAAAAGTAACTAGAAGAACCCCCCCCTACAGAAGATAGTGAAAGAAAGCGAGAAGAAAGGACTAAACATCAATTGCAAGAAGATAGAATGTATGGCTGTTAGCAAAAGGAAAACCAAATATGCACATTACTATTTGGAGATAACAAACTCAAACAAAACATTAACATATTCAGGAAGTGTTTTAACAGAAGACGAAAAGTGCGGCATTGAAATCAGAAGGCGCGTTTGGATAGTGAAATATGCCTTTTAAAAGCTAAGCAAAGTATTAAGAAACAGAAAAAAATCATTAGAAACAAAGAAAAAAGTACTGAACTGTTATATAATATCAGTTTTTCTATATGACCGTGAATGCTGTTGCATCAAATCTCTTTTTCATCTCCAAACAGATGAAGAAGAGATTTGAAGTAACAGAAATGTGGTTCTACAGGAGGATACTGAGAATATGATGATCGAATCATGTGAGCAACGACAAAGTTTTAGAGAAAATGGAAACAAAAAGGACACTTATACATAATATCAGGTAGAGACAGTTGAAATTTCTAGTGCACATAATGTGAAAAGAAGGCTTGGAGAATTTGATACTTATAGAGTAGATCGAAGGCAAGAGGGGTAGAGGAAAACAGCGAATAACCTACCTAGATGGCTTGAGTAAATGGATTGTAGAATAAAGTTTAAGTAAAATGACATTTATTAAGCGTTGCATAGGATAGGAAACTGCGGAGAGCCATGATCACCAACTTCCTGAACGGCACGCAACACTAGCTGAAATTGCTCAGTCTGAACTGTTTCGGTATGTGTATTAACGATTATAAAAATCTTAGTATCGGGCACCTGGTGAGGATCGAACTTTCTACTCAGTCGTTATTGTTCTAGCGAGACAAATTAGCTAACCATTACACCACGTCGACGGGGGCAGTTGCTTACCGTATATATTGTTCCTAAGTAGCCACTCTTTTAAATTCTTTCTTCTTTTTATGTGTCGTGTCCCTTCAGGACGTAGGCGATCATGGCTCTCCACTTCTCCCTATCTCTTTTATCTCTCATTAAGTTTCGTCCTTCTGCCAGCTCCCCCAGACCACGTTCTGTCACCCACTTTATTAAAACCACCAGGTATGTCATGCATTGCTTTCTCTCGTCTCTCTTTTCCTTTATTCGACCTGTGAGTATCAGATTCTCCAGGCCCTCCTTTTTCGTTACGTGTCCCAGAAATTCCATCTGCCTCTTCCTGATATTAAGTATAAGCTTCCTACTTGTTTGCATCCTCTCCAAAACCTCATTGCTCATACGCTCGGTCCATGATATCCTTAGCATCCTTCTATAGAAGCACATCTCCGTCGCCTCGGGTCTCTTCTTCATCTTTGAGGAAATCGTTCAACATTGAGTGCCGTAAAGAAGGACAGATGCCACGTAACAGCTCAGTATTCTTCCTTTGTTTCCAAAGAAATCCCCCTGTCTCGCAATACTCTGTCCAGTTTTTGGAATGTGTCCCTTGGCCATCCCAATCCGTCTACGGATCTCAGTGTCACACTTGCCGTCCTCTCTCAAAACGCTTCCCAGATATGTAAACTTCCGCGTCTGCTTGATTCTAGTGTTTTCGACCTTCAAATCACATTTCAGGCCCATCCTTTTACTGATGACCATGAATTCTGTCTTCTTGTAGTTTATGCTTAGTCCCTTCTTCTCACTCTTCGTTGTTACCTTCTGTAGGGGATTTTGTTGTTTCTTTTCCGTGTCTGCTATCAGTATCGTTCCATCTGCGTATCTTAAGTTGTTAAGATTGTGGCCACTAATGATAAATCCCGGTTGTGTTTCCAAATCTCTCAGAACTGCCTCGCTGTATAAGTTGAACAAGTCGGGTGAGAAGACACATCCATGCCTTACACCCCCTTTCTACTTTTCTATATTCGTAATACTCTGTCTAGCTTTTGGAAGGCGTCCTTGCCCATCCTAATACGTCTACGGATCACAGTGTCACACTTACGGTCCTCTGTCGAAACACTTCCCAGATATTTCTCTTTCTTTGTTACCAAAGAAATCGTCCTGTCTCGCAATACTTTGTCTAGCTTTTGGAATTCGTCCTTGGCCATCCCAATATGTCTTCCGATACTGAGCCGAATATGGTTATTGCAATTTGATCCGATAATAAGTGCAGCTGAAGAATAGTACAGGGTTTTTCACAAAAAGTTATATAATTTAAGATGTAAGTACATAGTCTAGGCAAATAAAACTAAACAGGCATATCGCTGAACAAAAGATTTATTCATCAAAATTTGAAAGAAAATTTAAAAGGTATGTGGATTTCATGGTCGATTTCACAAGTTTTCTTCAAGTTTCTCTTGCATATCTACCCCAAAATTGCTTGAACTTTTCCTTGCCGTCTGAATGAATTGCAACTTTTGGGTGCCATTCGTAGTCGTTTTCTTTCGACACGCCAACCTATTGTAGGAGAATGTGGATTATGAAAGCATTTATAGAAAAGATAGACAGAGGCAAGCGTAAGGCGATGGAAATTCGTTTTTTTTACGGCTTATTAACTTGCAGCTTATTTAAAACAAGAAAATATTTATAAATTGTAAAAATTTTCCTTTGGCGATAATAATGATTCAGTGGTACAAGTCTTACTAATTAACCCATAGCTAGGGGGAGAAGAGGTGGATTCACAGCTTTTCAAAGGATATTTGCACATAAACGTATATAACGACCCCTACTGGACTTGGAACTCGGCTCTCCTACTAAAAATTCTGAACCATTATCTATTGCACCACCCGCACTTCCAAGCTTGCGGCATCTTTTCTTCCAAGGCGAACACCCATCAAACTACTGAGTAGGCTCTACGTTGCTTAACTTCTGTGATTCGTACGGGAACCGGTGTTTCAACTTAACGTGTGCGTATAAATGGCTGGCAGAACAACGATTGCAAAATCAAAAAGGATTTGTAGAAGCGTTAGTATTACTCCTAGCAAAAAAACAAAAAACAAACAAAAAAACCAAAACAGGAAGTTAGGGAGAGCCTTGTTCATCCATACTCTTAACTAGCTTCTGCAGGATTTATGGCATTTCCCTTTCTGTTTCTACCATCAACAGTGTGTCATCTGCATAATTGTTAAGATTGTGGCCGCCAAGAACGAATTCTGGTAGGACTTTTAATTCTCTTGGAATCGCCTCACTGTATAGTTTGAATAAGTCTAGTTGGAAGACACATCCTTACACCAGTTTCTATTATTCTATATTTACTGAACTCATTTCCAGCCCGCATGCAGGCGGCTTGCTACCAGTATAGGATCTGGACTATTCTTATATCCTTCCCAAATATGTTACGGTTACCTTGCAGTCCCAATAGAAACACATATTCAGTGATACATTTTTTGGCCTCAGTATATATATATATATATATATATATATATATATATATATATATAGAGAGAGAGAGAGAGAGAGAGAGAGATCAGCTTTAGGTAAATATCAGCACAGTCTGGGTCTATAGCATTGGGTGGCGAATAGTCTTGGAGAAAGTGAACTCTGAATTCAAACCCCCTGGTGGGTTGTTTGAGTACCTTGTGGCATTGTGTGCACCGGTTCTCTGTATTGGGATCCCCCCAAAAGTGTGGTTGGTCCTGCACAAAGCTTCCCCACAATAATCAAATGATATGTCTGGGTAGTCTGTTGGTTCTAAGAACTGAATTGACTGACCCTCATACGGCGAAAACAAAGGGAGAGTCCAGAAGACCACGCTTGGCAAAATATTTCCCGCAGAGAAAGAAAAAGGCATAGGAAAAAGAAACAGACACTTAGCCAACCAAAATCTCCCGCTCAGAATGTCTATGGAATCAAGAAACCGTAAATAGGAAACAAAACCAAACCAAAATCGTAACATCAACCTGGAATGGGTCCGGCGCCATTGATAGTTAATCAATATCTTTAAATTTCACTCACGTGATATGCAAACAATTTAATTGATTTAATCGTGTGAAAATACCATATGTCACACACAACCGCCCCCACACATACATACATAAAAGTGAACACTGAAATCAACACTCAGAGGCAACAGGCCTTTTCACGCAATCGTCAGGCCGCGACTATTGCATTTTTCTCGACTATTTATATATATGGGTCAGTAGTGCATTGTGGGTAATACATTCTGGAGGTTATTTTGGCGGAAGTGGTTGTTTATTCATATATTTCATTTAATTTTATTTTACTTTATTTTTATTTTCATTTTATATTTTATATTTATTTATTCTTTTCGGTTTTCGATGTTTTATTAACGCAGTAAAAAATTTGGTGGGGTATGTTTAGGTCACTTATTTAGTAGTTTGTTTTGGTCTGGGAAGATAAAGCTATTTATTCGTTCAAATTTTGGAATGATTGCCGTAGTCTATTCTGTTATTTTGGTGGGGGACAGTTTTTAATTTGCTTATTATTTTATTTTATTTATTTGGATTGATTATTTTTACTTGTTTTTGTTTATTTACGTTTATTTTTATTAGTTCTAACGGTTATTTTAGCGGGAGCGATTTGTTAATTTATTTATTTATTAGGATTAATTTTGTCTTATTTATTTGCTTATTTTTTATTTTGTATATTTTATTTAATCTATTCGGTTTTCGATTTGTTTTATCGTTATATAGCAGTTATAGCTATTTTCTCGTCCCATTTTTGAATTGATTGTGTAGTCTATTTTAACGATTATTGGTTTGTTAATTTCTTTATTGTTTACTTTATTTATTTGGAGTGATTATTTTTACTTGTATCTTATGTATTTTTTATTTTTATTTGTTCTATTTCGTCTATTCTAACGGGAGTGGTTTGTTAATTTGTTTATTATTTGCTTGAGTTAATTTATTTTACTTGTTTATTATATTATTTTGTTTATTTGTATTTATTCTTTTCAGTTTTCGATTTTTAAGTAACGTAGTAAAAGTTTGTTTTCACGTCTGCATTCTGAGATGAGCTCAGATCGTTTATTTAGTAATTTATTTTGGTCTGGGAAGGTAATAATAGTTATTTTTTCCTCCAGGCAAATTTTACAGGTTTTAGATTGATTGTTGTAGGCTGATGATCTTTTCCTTATTTTCCATGATATTTTTGGTGTGATTTGCGTTTTTTTTTTAATTTCCCAGATATACTTATACAGCATTGTGCTGTTCGCGTATTTACTATTTGTGAAAAATGTTTTGTGTTCATAGTTTCTTTGTTTCCAGGGTCCTTCAGTAATTCCTATATATACTTTTTTCTCCATTATCTGGTGATTTTACAGTAGCGTGGTACATTGTTTTGTAAATAATTGCCGTTTAAAGGACATCCATTCTTTATTTTAAAGTTACACGTGGGTTTAATTTTTAATTTATCAATAAATAACAAACGCCAGGAATGAATATATGGAAATAATGTATTAACGTAATAATACAAACTGGTAAAGCAGGTTAGTAGTTCAAGGAATACAGGTTAGTAGCAAAATATATATACAGTCTTTGGTATTAAAATATCGCTGTATGACTTCTTACTGAGTCCTACAACGCTGTTACCTCACCCTCACTCTTCCGGTTACCTACAACCTTTTACTCTGTCACTCTGGACTCGACTCTTCGGTCTTGCTCTCTCGGGTCTTCACGTAGCCGTAGTATATGTATATACTGGGTGAGTCCATTTGTGTAAAAAGGGGAGAACCCCTCAACAGACTTGTTCGCGTGTTTTGTTGATATTTTTCTTGTTGTGCTTTTTTTATTATTTGTGCCACATTCTCGGTGCAACTGTAGCTGATTTTTACTGTGTTTTTATTGAATATTTTATGTGGAAAGCTTGATTCCGGAAGTGTTTGTTTAAGAGTTTGAAGAATATTATACCTACGTTTGTTTTTACGTTTTTGCTGTACGGTAGGTCGAACCATATGATATTCTCTTCCTGTTGGCCTTATTTGTGCTCTGTGGTGAGTATGTGAGTGTTGCCGGGAATCCACTATCTTTTAGGGCTATTTCGTTAGTCATTCTTAGCTTTGTTAAATATGGATTCATTGGAGGAATTGACGGAAAGCCTGCGATTAATCGATTTTGGTATCTGTTTGATTATAGAAGGCGGATGGTTGGAAGATGTGTGTATGTAGAGTGGTTTATCATTAGGTTTTCTATATGGTTTATATGTGCCTTTTGTTAGGTTGAAGGTAACATCTAGAAAATCTACTTCGTTTAGGTTAGTTTTTATATCTATGTCGGATCCGTTGTTTTTAAAAATCTTTATTATTGCTTTTCTAGTTTTGTCTGTGTTTTCTTTCTTACAGTTTCTTAAGATTATGAGACCGTCGTCCCTGTAGTGTCCTGTGTCATTTCTGTCTTTTATTTTGCTGAGTTCGTGTAGTAAATATATACCTATGATTTCGCAGGTCTCTGCACCGACAAAGCTTCCCATTGTAGTGTCAAACAGCCCCTCCCTCTTTATTCATGCGTCTTTATAGTATTATAGTAGGGATTTACGGGAGTGTTTAATGATATCGATTTCGTTTGTGTTTATTTTAATTTGCTAACGTGATGGTCTTATCTAGCATGGGTTCTATTATGGATGGATAAAATCCTTTTTTGTCTAATTGTATAAATTGGCAATTATGTTTGTTATTTATGTTGTGGAACCAGTCAATAATTGCTTTTGCGTTTTTCCACTGGTTTAAACCTAACTTCTTCAGAATTAATTTAGTTATTTTACCTAGTCAAAGCTAAAAGAATTTAAACACACACACACGCACACACACACACATATATATATATATATTTCATGTATATATATATATATATATATATATATATATATATATATATATATATAAATATATATATATATATATATATATATATATATATAAATATAAAAAGTGAACATTGAAGTCAACAGTCAGAGGCGACAGGCCGTTTTCATGCTAGAACACTCGTCAGGCCGTCTGACGATTGCGTCTAGCATGAAACAGCCTGTAACCTCTGAGGGTTTACTTCAATGGTCACTTTTATGTTTTATATTTGCATACGCGCTATCTCTGATATTGAGCACTTTATCCCATAAATATAGCAAACCTTAAAACTATATTTCTTCATATATATATATATATATATATATATATATATATATTTCATATATATATATATATATATATATATATATATATATATATATTTATATATATATATTTTATATATATACATTTATTACATATATATTTATTATATATATATATTTCATACACACACACACATACATCCATACATACATATATATACACATATATATATATTAGATAGCGATATATACGTTTTTATATATAAAGAACAGTTTTGGAGGAATATTGTATGACAAAGGGGAAAGGTTTCGTGTGACGCGTTTCGTCTCTTAGAACTTAATTCGATGAAGTCCAAAGAGACGAAACGCATCACTTTTTTACAATTTGTCAAATACATATACATACATACATACGCACACACACACACACACACACACACACATATATATATATATATATATATATATATATATATATATATATAAACATTATTTTAATGTATACTACAAAATAATATAAAAATAAATTAAAATCAATTCTCTTCTTTTTATATATATATATATATATATTACTTATACATATTACTTAAACATTATTACTTAAGCGTGTATATATATATATATATATATATTAAATGGTACTACTATGTAAATAAATGCAAATATATTATCTCATTCCTTATAAATAAATAAAAATCATCAGAAAGATATTCAAATATATCCGTGTACTTTTTTCTGTAAAATAGTAAATTGTGTAAATGCTTCATTTAATGCATCTAAAAAAGACATCAAACCCACATTGGTGTATAAAATTCTTTTATCAGTATCATAGGAAGT